CCGTGAGGGCCAAGGGCACCCCAAATGGCAGTCCTGCACTCTGGAGGAGATGCTTTCTGCTATGAGCTGAAGGAATTGTAGATGACCAGTCTGGTATGCTTTGCGGATACGGTAGGGTCTTGAGGTCTACAGAGCAGATAATGGGGGAAAGAAAATCTAATATTGCCTTCCAAATCCTCATCCTACCAGAGACTGAGCAGTGACAGACACAGCACTGGACGAAAAGCCTCCTGTCTCCTTGGACACGACTAAGCCCTGAAATGGAAGCCAGGCCCTCCTTCAGGGGTAGGGATGATGCCCAGTATCCAGAAGCTTCAGGACAGCTGGCATGACTGTGGATTTCTGTCAACCTTACAGCGACGAGCTTCCTTTGATCGGTGGGCTTCCCACATCCCAGGCTGCTCAATATCTGGTCGCAAAAGAGATTCCCACAAAGAAAATGACTAGGACAACATGTGTAAGGGTCCTTTGAACTCTACTGGGTAACTCTGGTGAACTCTCTGGAAGTTCTGTGTCTTCAGAAGCGGGACCAGTGCCATTTCCCAGCCTTTCTCCTCAGGGCCCCTGCCCCGGCTTGCACCATATACCCTGCTGTATGTGGGCAAGAGGTGCCAAAGAGAAGAGCTGGCAGAGGGTGAGTGTGGTTCCTTGGGCTTTTCAATAACTTGACCAGTAGAGGGGTGTGTGTGTAGGAAGGTGTTTGTGTGCCAGTCTAGACATGGGCTTGTGATGAGCACATGGTGACAAGCTGGTGGTGACCCACTGGCTTGCTGTCTGCACTCCTGCGTGAATCCAAATCTCTCTGGAGGACTGGTGAAGCAGGCTCAGGCCTGGCTGCCCAAAGGGCATCTCTTAACGCTGCAGTGATCTTGGGCTCTTACCCTTAACTCCCCTACTGTCCACACACACCCCCTTCTCATCCCAGTCTGGTGGTGCTTTCGACCCAGCCTAGCTGGCCCAGGTAGGGGCATAGGCTAAAACCCAAGTGAGGCTTTCACTTGGGCTGGTAACTTGCCCACTCTGCAGTGAAGATACAGGCTAAATCAGTGGAGTACTCATGGCCCTCCAATGGCATCCCACAATTCATCGTATGTGCCCAGAAGGTCAGACAAGTTCTCCTACTACTCCCTGGGACAGACTCCTAGCGCAGTGCAATGCAAAGAACCATGGGATGTGCCCACAGTATTCTAGCAACACACACAAGGGAGTGCAGCACCAGGGAAGACACAGTAACTCGAGTGTGGGTTTGCAGTGTGGCTGCTCACACCTGGGCTAGGCTGACCTAGGTGCTCCCACCTGGGAGCCGATCACCCGAGTTAACGCTGCAGTGCAGATACATCCTAATCGCTGCCGGAGCAGCAACAGGGATTGCCAGGCTGCCAGGGGCTTAAGATTTTGTCCCAATTTTGATTCATACCAAGGGAAAAGATTGCAGCTTCCCACGAGGAGGAGGAGTAGAGTCCTCAGAGACAAGAGAGCTTCTGCGCTGGGAATAGGCTTGCGGTGCAATGCAGCATCTGACCAGCGGGGGGGGGGGGGGAAGGAGTCTTCAGCAAACCTGCCTGCACAGATGAACGAGGTGAACAAGAATATCAGCCATGTGGCACCTGAGCAGAGGAAGTACCAGGTGCGCAAAATCCTCATTTTAAAACTCTGTAGTGGGGTCTCCACAGGGAGCCTGCACATACACACTCTTGCTTTGTGCAACCGGCTCCTGGCTGTAATGTCCTGGCTTGGCAGAGGGGGAGGAGGAGGGTGTCCACCACAGAATAACAAGGTGCCGTGGTCTGTTAGCAGGGCTTTTGCAGAGGATGCTATGCAGGGACTGAAGTCTCTTTGCTAGAGAGAGATGCAGGAATCCACCTGAGCAGCCCTTTGAGAGAGCATTCCTCAGAAGAGAAGAGGGGAGATAAGGCTCACCCAGGTACCCAGCGCTGACTCACCACTGCCACAGCCAGGGGAATGCCTGTGCTTTTAGACCCTGAGCCATGCGGAGAAGCTCAGCACACAGTGGCACAAGGCTTTGAAACTTCAGCTTTAAATCCCCCCAGCATAGCTCAGTGGAGACCAGGACCCTAGTCAAAACATCCTGCTACTATTCATAGGTGCCCAGCTCTCTGAACAATAAACAGAGAAGCCATCCCTGTGCTTCCGTGTTCAGCTCCGTTATTGTATAACAGAACAGCGCCGCTGGCTTAGAAAAGCCACTAGAAACGTCTCTTTGTGACTGCAGGTGATTGGCTACACATCTCTCCTCATGCGGGAGTGTGCCACCTTGGACAGAGCGGCCACACATTGCCTTTAGTCAGCCTTTGTTTACTAGGCATTTCAGCGTGTGAACAGCAGAGACTAGGTCACAAAGGGTCCAAAATCCTTCCTTCTTCATGCCCCCCCAATTCCCTCGGGGTAGGTGCCTTAGCTAGACCTCATTTCCACAGGCGTGGCTGCTGACCAGCGCTTGGGGGGAGAAATCCTTTTTCCATGTGGATCTTTGGACCATGTTATTTCATGGACCACAATATATTCTGTAGGTACAGAATCCATTCCCCCCCCCTCAAAGGGTTGATAGCTAATTCCAGCACCTAGTCTATTTTAATTAAGACTTTTTCTCCTGTGTATACAATTTTCATTAGTGCTGAAGTTATTTTTAATTTGTAATTAACACAGTCTACTTCCCATTATGTATGTCTTGCTGGAATGACACGTTCCATCTTACAGTTTGCAGTACCTCAAAGGGGCAGTAGATGTCTCTCTTAGCCTTCCCTTGGCCCACCTGCCCTCCTTGTCCCTGAGACGGTGATATAGTGCATAATTCCAAAATGGCAGCTTTTTGAAAATTCACCTTGATTATCAGACATTAAAAGTGACTCATCCCGCAGTGACTGTCTGGCAGAAGGATGGGATCAGACAGCAGACAATGAGGGACTGGACGCATTAACACACTATATTACAGAGCCCATCAAAAATACCTTTGTTCTGTCAAAGATCCAATCATTTCCTAGTTGTGTTCTTCTGAAGAGAAAGAATAATAATAATAAAAAAACACAGAGGAATTTAAAACCTCCCCGGATCTCTTTATTCTGGGAGGGAGGGAGGGAGGGAGGGACGTGTTTTCTTAATGCCTGATCAACAATCAGGAGGAGATGGGACAATGGGAGCTGCTGGGCTGTGGAAATGGGACTCTGCAGTAACACACAGCACTTGTTTGCTCTTGAAAGCCACCATATTATTGCCCCTGATTCTGCTTATTGGAAACTCATTAGCAGGCAGATGCCTCAACTAAATATTTACAGCTGCACTCACACCTATGCTGCAATCTTCTAATCTCACCCAACAGCAAAAGCAGGGACCAAAGGGTTTATTTCATACTTAATGTGCAAAACAACCCCAACAACTGGAGCTTTAACCTGTAATCATCCTGGCGTATTTCATCTGCACAGAGAGCGAGAGTGTGGAAATGCCACCGCTGATAAATACTTTATAAGCAGCGATAATAGCCCATAAGTATAAGCACCGGAGTCTTTCCAATAACTGTAAAGCTTGCAGTCTTGCAGTGTACATGCGTGTGTCTGTTTATATGAAACCATGTGTGGATGTATCACTGGGTGAAACATACCAAATCCTCAGCACCGCTGAGAGTGTAAGAGGCTCACGCACTTGCCTGAGTCCCCAAGGAGACAGAAAAAGCCCAACTGGGAGGTTTTGGCTCTGGTTTTATCATTTCCATCGCTTGCTTATGAAGCTAGGGAAACTGTCCAGGGCTAAGCAAAGCCTTTATCAGTCACGGAAAATACCCCAAAGGCAACATGCCACAGATCAAAGGCATCTCTGGCGTTTGTGCTCATGTGGGTTTCCCTGCCAAATAGTTTAAGTAATATGATTAAAACACAAATTCCATAAACATCAATTTCCCATCTGTTTAATAATAAGAAGGTTCTGTGTCATCAGCGGTTTCATTCCCCTCATTGGATTCATTAATATTCCATGGGAAAGCAAGTGTTGCCCTCAGCCCAACCTGCACAAGGCGACACCTCCTGGCAAAGGGATCCGGTTCCCCGGCTGGGCACAGGAGCTGAAGGAATATTCCATCCTTGGGGCGCAGGGAGCAAGGGGAACTGCTGCAGACGCAATGAAACGGGAGGGGCTGCTGTAATTAACAAATACAAACAATACACCCCAACACATCACATGGGGGCAGAGAGATGTCTGGAGCATCCTGCAAAGCTTCCCTTTTCTCTTCTGACTCCCACTGTTCATCAGAGGCCAAGACCATGCAGTAAACAAGGCCCCCCACCCTCTCTCTCTTGTTCCCTGAACTGCACCAAGCAGCAGCAATTTCACTTCTCCTCCAGACAGCCAGAAGCAGGGACAGGACTGGGGGCGACCAGAACTCCATAGTGACATTGCCTTCTCCGATCTACACACATCCCAAGGGGCAGGAAAATGCAAAAATGTTGTACGCAAAATCTCTTCCTGAACCTGATGAGCAGAGCAAAGGAAAGGAGGGTCCCAGCCCACCCCCACATTGAGGGTCTGCAACGCTGGGCTAGATTCATGAAAGGGAAAACAGGAAGAGAGTTTCCGTTTATAGAATTTTAATGAGCCCTAAAGGTTATTTCTCTGCAGTTCTAATGATAATTTCCAGCTCTCTATGTTCATAGGAAACGGGTCCTTTAGCTCGAATCACATTTGGATACTGTCTAGAGCACACACTGCATGTCGGGCTGCTGCAGAATATCAACAAATGATCAGCAGCATGCTCAGATTCTACAGGGGAGAAACAATACACAGGGAAGTCTTGTATGGTTTGCACTCTGCAAATGAAAATGATCTCACTACCCCTGCCAGGGACTCAGCAGGTCACTTGAAAGCCCTGCAGCTCTTGGGAGAGGGTCCCTCCAAGAGAACGAGGGAAGAAAAACGAACGGGAAAAAATAAAAAAAA